TAATTTAACAACCAGACTATTTATCTGCCGACTTCCAAAAAGGAGCCGGTACTCAATTCGACTGTATGTTTTTTTTTTTTCGTTTTTTTTTTTATGTGTGTTACCTCAGAACTTTTTTCTGGGTGAACCGATTTCGATGATTCTTTTTTTATTTGAAAGCTGGTACTTCTCGTGTGGTCCCATATGAATTTGATCAAGGTCAGACCAATAGTTTTTAAGTTATTCTTAAATAACTTATATTGAAGTCGGCTGTACAAAATTTTTAATTTTAAATTATGTAATTTATATTCGTTGAAGTAATATGTTATACGTACTAGAAGAGGACGCAGGGACTTGGTCGTTTGCAACATGCATTAAAGCCCATGGGCTCAAACCTACTTACACGCTAAGATGTTCTTAAAGTATAGATACGTCATACTCGCCCTAAAATGGCAATACGAAAGTCAGGTAATTGCCCGACTCGCATTCAGTCGGGCACGCTCTCGCGTCGCGGCTATACCTTCGCTACAGCGCGTAAATCTTCTAGTTATTCGTGGCAAAAATCCCTTCTTGTGTTTTTAGGTGGTGCACAAATTACACGGCCACTGTTAGAGACAAGAAAAACGTCTCATTAATATTTTGAATATAGATGTTTTGTTCATAATTCGTTTTATTATTTCAACACTAACCGCTTGTGTAAACTTTGACGCTAGCTAGTGTGTTCATTTCCATATCGGTATGTCACGCGCTCGCGCCAATGAGCGCTCAGCAGCAATCAATACGCAACTAATGATGTATATTCATCTTTTTCTAACGATAGGTATGCCGTATCATTTGCCTCTTTTTGGTAGCGCAACGTGTCATAATAAATAACTGTACGTAGATATAGTACTACCTGCGCCACTTTAAAATACAATAATGTTAGTGTGTAACCTGTCTATCTTTTTTAATACGTCTTTGCTTACACGTATCTATACTATGAAAATGTGCCTTCGACTTCGACCGCGCGCCCCACACTGCTGTACAGATTTTGTTCGCAGTGTCTGTTCTAGAACAGTACATATTAGTTCAATGTTTATATATTATAAAAGAAGTATTATTATAAGGTAGAATGTGATATTTAAATTAAAAAACAAAAAGAAGAATATACAAATATGTTTTTGATGTTGCACCACTTAAGGATACACTGAATTGACTCACTGTCATAAAGGCGGCGAAATTGAATACAATAAAAACAATACAAAAATAATTTCATTTAGTAATGATGATTTCATTCAAAGTTTATAAAATAATTACTGTACTTACGTATTATTAAGTATATAACTCTTTGATTTTCTATTTATATTTGATATTACATATAAAGCACCTTGAATGTTACCGCTTATGACTGCAAATTCATTTTTATATACTCGTACACAGGCTGAGAAACTGCACGCTTAAGAAAACATGTAAAAAAAAAGAAAACAAAAAAGGAATGAAGCAATGAAGCGAATGACAATCGATTCCCTGCAGCTTGTCTCTTCATCTAGTTATGGGTATTTATCCTGCTCGAAGGACCAACAAGTTAAGGATAACAAGCATAGACATTTTAAATGGACCGAGTTTTTGGGCTTAATTACTGTCACTAAGGTTAGATTCAACATCGATTTTTTTTATTTTATAGGATAGGGTGACAAACGAGAACACAGTCCACCTGATGGTAAGTGGTTGCTGAGGCCCATAGACATCTACATCTATCCTCGTTTGCGAATCAAAATGCAGATGCGTTGTGACCCGTGAGGACTAAGATGGAATGCCTCTTTTCCAGTAAAAAGGGTCTCCGGTTCTCTACACTCACCATACGAAACACAGCAGTGTTAAGCTGCTATTTTACGCTGGTATTCTGTGAGAGCGTGGTCCTTCCCCGGCCGAGCCCACCCATTCGTGCTACAACTATACTACTAATATAACTGCAGCGTGGCTCTACCTCATATAAATAACAATATAGTAATAATAATTTTGTATTTTTTTTAAATAACACAAACACTAACAAAAATATTTTTTTTATTTTGGCCTGACCCGGGATTCGGCCCGGATATCATGATCAGCAAGGTCGTTTAGCAATATTCCAACGAGGCAGTCATTAGTAGTCAGTATATTGGCTATAGCAATAATCCTGCTAATCCAGAATCCATCGGTGAACGCGGTAATCTGGACGAGAGATGGAAAAGGCGGGGCGTGTTCGCGGTAGGGGGCGAGAGGCATCAAATATACGTTGCAGGTCGCTGCGTGCGCCCAATAATCCTCAAATAAGAAACGCGGAATCGCAAGAATGTATACTATACATAATAATACGTGGTAGAGCCACGTTGCAGCTATATTATGGTTGTAGCACGAATGGGTCGGCTCGGCCGGGGTAGGACCACGCTCTCACAGAATACCAGCGTGAAATAGCGGCTTAACGCTGCTGTGTTTCGTATGGTGAGCGTAGAGGAACAGTAGACCGTTTTTACTGGAAACGACGCGTTCCATCTTGTTCTCAGGGGTGACAAAGCGTCTGCATTTTGGTTCTTCTTTCACTAGATTACAACACCGTTACAATACAGCCTATAAAAGTCCACCACTGAACATATGCCTCCTCCAAATATTGCCTCATAGGGCGGATATTTGACATAGTTGTCACGCTTAGCATGCGACTTGGCAATAGCGGTTTTTTGTTGTCGTTATTAGAAAGACGCTCCTGATTTGCTAGTTATACTAGATACAGTAAAACTTGGTTAAGTGGAACCTTGATAAGTGAGAAACCTTCATAGCTGGAACTCATGCTTAGGTCCCGAAATTTTGGCACTGAATTACCTGTGTTAGTGGGACAAAACAAACCTCTGTATCTGGGATTAGTTCTATCCATTTTATTCGTCATAATTACCTCTATAATTGAGACAGCGAGTGTATTTTACCTCTTTTACTGAGACTATATTTTGTGTACCGTTTTGTTTACTAATTCTTATTCTACCCGCAAATTCCGCACTTGGCTAATTGTGTAAAAATGACCTCCAGTTTTAGTTTGGATTTGCTATCCAGTTTTGCTGTCCTGATATTATGTATTTAGAAAATACGTTATTTTATTTAATAATCGCACATCTATAACTGAAATAACCTCTATTCTCACCTCTATTAATGGAACCCTCTGTAAATGAGACAGATATTTATTTATATGTGGTATCTGCGACACTGGGTAAGTAGAATACCTCTTTAAGTGAGACAAATTTGCAGGTCTCTTAAGGTTCAGGTTATACAGGTTTGCCTGTAATTTGAATCATCCATATATTTCAAATTATCTAGATATTTTTAGCGGTAGTGGCGGTGTAAAAATATCTACTAGCCCTTATCGTCGTAAGAAGCGAGAGAGGGAAACAAACCAGGAGATTGGCACCAGCGACTTCCTAACAACTAGAAAATAAAATAAAAAACTGTGGTTACCAACCCGCCTGCCTATGAGGCAACTATAACCGAATATACCACTTGTGAGGCAATGTATGGAGAGGCCTATGTTAATGGAATGGTAATAATGATGATGTTTAAAACATATAACAATGCAATATATGAAAAAAAATCGAAATCGAATAAAAAACTATGCAGGGTTTAACAATTAAGCTTTCTGTTATATTTGCAACTAACAATTGATAAATCGATATAATCGATTCAATCGATATACTATTACATCACTAGTATTGGCACCCTTAAAAAGTATGAGCGACATTTTATTATATATATATATATATATATATATATATATATATATATATATAGTAGAACGCCGATTATCCGAATTAATTGGGACCGGGGTCGATTCGGATAATCGGACATAGACTACCAGTCTATGTCCGATTATCATATAGAAAAATTGTCATATAGAAAAACGAACTGTCACACATAGAATTAAACTTTATTAAGTTTATAAATGGTTTTACACTTTATAAAGTTTTATAAAGTGTAAAACCAGCTACACCCATTTTTTTCACTGAACATTCTCGCCTTATCACATAAAATCGATCCTGAAATCGGTTGTCCATTAGATCGTTGCTGCAGAAACCACGTAAAAACAGCATTCTCAAGCTGTTCATATACTTTGCCTTTTTCATTACCTTTCGCGACGAACATCCATCACCAGTTTCCAACGCGGTCACAAAACTTAGTTTTTTCACTGTTATTTTTAATATCAGCTAACCAAATACTGTAACTAAGTAACATTATGTACTTACAGTACTTGGTTTTAATTTTTTATATAACACTTAGGACCGATTCGGATAATTGACGATTCGGTTAATCGGCGTTCGGATAATCGGCGTTCTACTGTATATATAAATATTAACAAGAAAAATTAATTATGTGAGTTTTGGCGGGAACTTGACCGGCGGCGGATTGCTGCTCTTCTTTTATTGTATAAACTAGCAGTTCCCCGCGACTACGTCCGCATATAAGTAACTAACGATTTGATTTCATGGGTTTAAAGTATTTGCGGAGAACCCTATTTGTTTTTCTAAAATAAAAAACCTAAGTCACTCCTTATAACATCAGCTATCTTCCAGTGAAAGTCCCATCAAAATCAGTCCAGCCACAAAAATTATTTTTTGTTATAAGTATAAAGTATATACTTTCATATGTATTTATTGAAAATCAGTTGGAAATTACAAAAGGACAATTAAACTTTATTTTATTTTCATAGATAATGGTTTGAACTGGGCTTTGATATGTAAAAGTGGTACGATTATGTATATTAAATGCATCCGCATGCGCACCATTAGTGAAAACGAAGAAACAAGTGCTGCGGTTGAGATGCGAACCTCAAGATGACGTGCTTTTACGGCGGCGCTTTAAGATACTGTCGTTGCCGATTGTCTGCTGGCTCAAGTTGCCGTCAAAATCTTACAAAAACTTCGCAATGTGACGCATCAAGATATTGTAAAAAAATAAATTCATAATAATTGACCTTGTCACAACAATACGAGTCCGTTACCGTAGAGAAAAAAATATATATTTTGTCAATCACACCTCATACATTTCCTCTTCTCCAACACAATCACGGATTTCAACGCACTCGCAATTGTATACCTCAACTCGTGAAACTTAGCAATGGACAATCTGTAAGTGTTTGTTTGTCCGTCCGTCAGTTGGAACGTTAGAATGATATGAGTGTCTCTTTGCATTATTTCTTTGCACCTCTCAGGATTCGCGTTTTCTGCTTGAATATTGTTTTGGCTGAAAATTTTAAATTTCTGTATGTGTTATTGGGTGATTAGAAATAATTCATAGCAAACGTGACATAATTGTCAGAGTACCTGACTATCGTGTTTAGGGATGCAGAGCTTTAACCAAAACAGGGCCAACATTTGCACAAATAGCAAATACACAGATTGTTGGTGGTAGTTCAGTTTTGTAAGTTTTTTAACAGTGGTAGAGCCACGCGGCAGCTTTTGCTGTCGCACGGATGGGCCGGCTCGAACCGGGGTAGTACCACGACCTCACAGAAAACCAGCGTGAAGTAGAGGTTTACCTCTGCGTTTCGCTTGGTGAGTGCAGGTGGCCGGAGGCCCTTTTTACTGGACAGTCCACCTGGTGGTAAGTGGTTGCTGTGGCCCATAGACATATACATCTATCCTCGTTTGCTAATTAAAATTCAGATGCGTTGTCACCCGTGATGACTAAGATGGAATACCTCTATTCCAGTAAAAAGGGTCTCCGGTTCTCTACACTCACCATACGAAACACAGCAGCGTTAAGCTACTATTTTACGCTGGTATTCTGTGAGAGCGTTGTCCTATCCCGGTCGAGCCGACTCATTCGTGCTACAACTATACTACTAATATAGCTGCAGCATGTACCACCACGTAAAACGACTTCCTAGCGTCGTGATAAAAAGTATACTACCTATAGCATAAAAATTAGTAAAAGCCGACTTAAAAAAACTAAAAAAAATTTAAATAATTTCCACATAACTTCAGAAGTCAGTGCTAAGGCCTAGTGTATAAAATAATCAAAATAATTCAGAAGCTGTTATGTGAATTTTTTTATCATTTTAGTTATATGATGTCGACTATTACTTTTCTACAGACTTCAATATAAGTTATTAAGAATAACTCAAAAACTATTGTTCAGAGCAGAGTTATGCTGCTATTTTACACTGGTATTCTGTGAGAGCGTGGTCCTACAACTATACTACTATAGCTGTAGCATGGCTCTACCACGTGTACTGCTTGTATGTCACCTTTTCTCCTTTTAAAAAACGGATAGAATTTGTTAGCCACTCTTGAGAACTGGTGACAAGAGGGGCTCCTCTCAGCTAATCAATTTAGTCTAAACCTAAACCAGCGACTAGGCATAGCGCCTTTTCTGCCTAGGACTTTGTCTGGATATGTACCAACCACCCTGTTTTCTATATCTTTCGCAAACAGCAGTACCTGCACTTCTGTGTTCCAGACTTTTCAAAGTATAAAACTAAAGTAAGCCAGTTTTACTACAGGCTTTACTACAGCCAGTTTTACTGAGGCATTCCATCTTAGTCCTCAGAGGTCACAACGCATCCCTAGCCTTCTTTCATCAGGTACATGGTCAGCAGTTGCCACTTTTTTTTATAGGAGAGGGGGCAAACGAACATACGGCTCACCTGATGGTAAGTGACTACCGCCGCCCAAGAATCATTGCAACACCAAAGGAATTGCAGGTGCGTTGACGGCCTTATAAAGAGGAGTAAGCTCTTTTCTTGAAGGTCCCTAAGTCGTATCGGTTGGGAAAAATTGCCAGTGGTAAACTATTCCACAGAGAGGTCGTAGGCTCAATTTATATTGCGGCGGAATGGAATGGAAGCGAATTTTGTGGCCTATATTTTTATTATTTATCTCCAATTAATAATCAAAATCTTTATTAGTAATTAGAATAAGATGGAGAAATAAACAAGGACCGACCAATCCGCTTGGTTTTGTACTACGTAAATAGTTGACGTTTTGTATACTGGCATTTTACTAACTAATCTAGTCATGAAAATTTATAAATACAGTCAAAACCGGATATAACGACATTGAAGGGACCATATAACTTCGGATGTTATATCCGATATAGTTGTTATAAGCAATATACACAAGTATACAAACATAAAAATATTTATTCTGAAAATCTTGCACGACCAACAGTACAGCTTATAGACTACAATAAGTTTTTAAAGTAATCAGTCATTTTGGTCTGTTTTTTTTAAGCCGTCTCAAATGTGTTTTGCATTTTACGTTTCATTCTCGTCAAGATTGCTTGATTATCATCAGCATTAAACTCTTCGTTAAAAGCAACAAATTTTTGTAAAACTATTATAGCATTAATAGCCTCGCATAGTGTTGTTGGTTGGAATTGCTCTTGGGGGTCTTCGTTTTCTTCATCAGTGTTACGATTATTACTTTCAACTTCTACAAGAATCTCTTCCTCAGTAACTACGGTGCACACGTCGGATGGGGTGGAAGAAAGTGCATAGGCATAAGTCAAAACATTCCTTCATAGATTAGAATAAGTTTGAAAATTGTTCGTATTGTTTTATTTTACAAGCACAACGGTTGATCGTTATAGCCGATGAATATCGATAAAGTTCCGTCGTTCTAAGCGATATGTCGCTGTATCCGATGTTGTTATAGGCGTTATGTTTACTTAACTGTTTATTAGGGATTCGGCCGGGACCTTACCATTCGGTCGTAATAACCGATTCGTCGTTATAAACGATGTCGTTATATTCGGTTTCGACTGTATTTGAATTCAGCTGACTTCACTCCGTCTACAACAGTTATATTCATATCATAGTTTTTCAGTCGCCAGCGCTATTGTGGTAGGTTTTGGAACCTCTATCTTCAGTATACAGTTGGACACTTTTTCAACTTTCCCCTCATATGAGATGGCTCTCCTTCTACTCTACAGTCCATGATCAAAATGGAGATGCGTTGTCACCCTTGAGGACTATGATGGAATGCCTCATTTCTGGTCTCCAGTTCTCTATACTCACCATACGAAACACAGCAAGCAGCATTTAGCAAGTATTTTATGCTAGTATATTGTGAGAGCGTCATCCTTCTGCGATTCGTGCCACAATCATAATATATCTGCAGTGTGGCCCCACTACGTAAAAACGTAGCATGATGGAACATTGCCACTTATAATAATGTAATAAAATCCATCAACCCATTTTGTCAGTGGCTATGGAATATGCTAAAAACATTTTTGGTGTCCGATAGAGGGTGGTAGGGACTATCTCATTTACATCTGGCCTAAAATACCTTGGAACCATCGATCACTAATAAATAAGATACACAATCCCATGCAAAAGTTCTCTAAAAACTGTCGCCAATTGTTATGACGTACATAATTCTAGTTGAAATAAATATACATTATCGTAAATTCAACCTTAAATACATTGCCCTAAAGTTGTATTCACAAAGCTACGTACTAATTAAAAGCGCACCCGAATGTTCGAGTGGGCGCTCATTCGGTAAGGACATTTTTTGTCACTAATTGTGTATCTAGTTTTTTATTAGTGATTGATGCTTGGAACATACATTATTGTTACTTACAATAGCATATGTATCAATACCTCATATGTATTCACTATGGTAAAATTCCGTCAATTTTACCATAGTGAATACATAAAAATTTTGTTGCAAATAAACTGTGTTCCAAACTAGCAGCTTATTATTCATGTCTACATTACAGTATTTTTTTTTGGTGAAGCTTATTTGCAACCACCGTAAATTAATCCATTACGTAGTGAATACATATAGGTATATGTACATAAATATACTACAATTATGATAGGGAAGATGAATAGCAAATGAACATACCACAGTGAAATATCAATCTTCCACTGCATGCTGACCATGCCAGGTTTCACACGCAAGTGCTTTGGTATATTCTCATATATTTTGTCTGTGCATAACAATGTAGTAAGCTCTTCTGTACATTCCGGACTGAATCTGGAAATTATAATAACACTTAATGTACATATAATTTGTGTTTAGGCATAATTTTTTAAATTTATTTTATGTATTTTAGTTTCTCCCTTATCGATTTATCTATTATATGCAGGTATGCACTCTATGTATATGCTGACAAAATTTACATTTATGTTACTTTTATATCAACTTTTCTCTTACACAATCTAAAGAATGTATAATAGTATATAATACTGAATACTATTAACCTTCTTTTATATTATTTGTAAATATTTAATGGTACCCACAGAAGATTAACAAAAATATCTTACTTAAATATGATAGGTTTTCACTTATTTAATCCGAATATATTTTCTGTTTAACTTTTAATTGGTAAATTAACTTTATTAGAATGGCTATACTAAAGTAGGGGAGGGGAGGTAGTCAGTTGTGCGAGGCGATGTAAAGAAAAATTAAGTAGGAAGCAGTGGAGGAGGACGGTTGGATAAACGTCTAAACATAGAATTAGACCAATAAGTGTATATTATAGTTGACTGCCTTTGTTGGTCTGGTGATCGTAAACGCGATAGCTGACTATGAGGTCCTATGAGAGTTTGAATCCTGGGTCTGGCCAACAAAAACAGTTGTAGAGGTTTTCTGTCAAAAAATTATCAGTAACAACTTGTGGTCTGTAAATTGACAGTGTTTCACTCCTGTGCCTTGGAAAGCAGGTAAAGCATGTTGGTGAGTGAGAGCATAAAACGTGCACCTGTTCTTACGCATACACTCGGGCACTATAATTCTGTCCAACGCAGATTGCTAGTCTCCGTTGGGAATGGCCGCCATGACCAAAATCAGACATTATTATAGTTTAAACTTAAGATTCAGGACCAAATAAAAGTGTAAACAGCAGTAGTTGTGTAATTCCATAAAACACTTATAATTATTTACTACATACTATTTTATTTTTAATTCCATAAAACACATAAATAAGCAGACATTTTAATATCTTAAATACTAAACTTTATGAATAATTATAACTTGAAGGACTTGAAGGACTACCTCAATTTATGCTTCATCTCACTCCTGAAAAATTAAGTTATAATCCTTACTTTTTAGGTTTTACTTTTTTAAGATTTGATAAAATGCACACTAGAAATTAATTATATATTTATATTTTTCTATTACACTTATATTAGTCGGCTGGGGTTGGCTATAGATATTCGGTACTTGATTTTAGTTATGTTTTCAACTTAGGAGGCTTGTCAGGGTTAAGCATGAACATTTTAAACTGTTTTTGAATGTCGGAAATGCGTTTTTAATTAATTATCACAAAAATAAATTTCAATAAAAATTCCGTATAACGAAACGCAAATATGACAATTTTGTATAGTGTTATGAGATTAGATGTCAAAAACAGATGCAAAAAGTGTGAATCGGAACGGTTGTTGACGGCCATGTTGTCGGCAACCGTAAATGTCAAATATAATATATTATCTATGATGTCAAATGTAAATTGTCATTCCGTTTCTCTAGTAGTCACGCGAATGTTCTTTTTTGTGCTTAGTGCTGTGTTTTCCCTGTTTTTTCGACGACTTCTGCTCTGTTTTTGGACTTCTTTGATTGCCCTTACGTTTGACCTTGGCTTTGTTTCTGGTTTTGATTGGATTGCATTACTTTGGACTTTGGCTTGCTTACCGGACCTGAGAATGAGCGATTACGAACCCGTAGCGGGGCCTTCTTCGGCATCTGACGCTTTACTCGAGGAACCATCACACATCGACGAAGACTTCTCTGACGACGGCGACTATGTGAAGCGTCGACTATACGTGTCTGAGATTATGTTCATGTGGAATCTGTCGGATATTGTGCGTGAACTTGGAACGAACGAGCAATGTGTTCGATATAGTGAGGATGAAGGGCTGGTCCTAAAGGAACGAAAGTGCGGCAAACATAAAACTAATATGAAAATTTCATACTCAAGTGGCTGCAAATCGCTTGGTACTTTCATATGTGCTAAAGCATCCTGTAAGGGGAAAGCTGGAGGCAGTGGAGTTAAAATCTCACGACGACAAGGGACTTTTTTTGAAAATGTAACTCTTGATATGCCCCACATATATTACCTCATATATGCATATTCACAAGGATGGTCTTATAATCAAACAATCCATGAAGACCCATATAAACGACAGAGACAACAATGTTTAAGCCCAAATACAATATGTGATTGGTACAATTACTGCAGAGAGGTAGTTGTTATTTACTACCTCGAGAAACAGAATCAGTTTACTGGAAAGATTGGTGGCCCTGGTAAAATTGTACAAATTGATGAGAGCAAATTTGGAAAACGAAAATACAATAAAGGTAAATATAAATATGATTATGTTTACACCTTTTTTTGTCATACTAAATGTCTAATATTAATTTTATTTGTTAAAGGACGTCACATCGAAGGCCACTGGGTGCTTGGTATGATAGAAGATGGGTCTGAGGATCTCAGACTAGAGGTGTGCCCGGACAATATTAGGTCTGCTGAGGTACTGGTGCCGCTTATACAGAGACATGTGGCGGCGGGTACCACAATTCATACTGATTGTTGGCGGGCATATGATTGTTTGGCAGAACACGGGTACACACATAAAAAAGTTAACCACTCAGACCCAGACAATCCATTTGTGGCTGAAGATGGGACTGATACACAACGAATTGAGTCGCAGTGGAGAGCAGTGAAGAGGTTTTTTAGAAAACAAAATTATAATAATTCTCAAAGTTTTACAGACGTGATAGTAGAGTATTTGTGGAGACACACAAAATTTTAAATTTTGTACAGCCAACTTCAATATAAGTTATTAAGAATAACTCAAAAACTATTGGTCTGACCTTGATCAAATTCATATGGGACCACACGAAATGTACCAGCTTTCAAATAAAAAAAGAATCATCGAAATCGGTTCACCCAGTAAAAAGTTATGAGGTAACACACATAAAAAAAAACATATAGTCAAATTGAGTACCGTCTCCTTTATGGATGTCGGCAGAAAAAAAGAAGATAAGTTTTTTTCAAAAAGAAGATAAGTCCTTTGGCAAGTTGTAATTATGAATAAATATAATTTCGTAATTGGCGAATCCAGTCCCGCGAAATCTGGCAGATCGTTATCGGTTATTTCGTTACTGCACAGCATATAACATTTGCAAAAAAAATATCAAAAACAATGTTTTTTTGGAAACTTGATTGCTTTTTGTCTTTTAATTTAGTGTATATATAATAAAAAAATAATCCCAAATATTTTTGTTGGTTATAAAGTATTACCAGACCTCTCCAAAAATATTTTATTAAAATTCCAAAAAAATATACTTTTGTCCATCTCAAATTTTAATCACATATTTATTGAGTAATTTATATAATACCTGCAAATTGCCAGACAAATTTATTGGTTTTAAACAATTTTCAGGTGTAAATAAAGTTTACAAATGAATACGGCAAAAAAGTCTAATGTGCAGCCATAAGTACGAGAAAGATAGATTATCGAGGCATATCGGCAGATGATGGGGGCCCAAGTTCCTCGCGCTTTGATTGGTTATTGAGAAACCGCATTTTTCCAGTATAGTTCCGGGTCTGCGTTCACAACAGAGTATTCTGTGTGAGAGCAATCATAGAAAGAAAAATTATCTATTGTTTTTATATATTTTTTAAATATTTTAAAATTAACTAACTCGTAATGGATTACTCCTTTATTATTGTTTGTAAATTGTTTAATTTCTTGTAAGCGATTTGTAATCTTTTCTTTTTTTTTAATTTAATAACATCTTAAACTTAAACCAACTTAATACTTCATTTGTGATAAAAAAAGAGCTTAACAGTTAATTGGCAAAGAAATATGTTGTATTTTTTATTTTTACTGACATCCAGACCCTGACAACAACAACAACAGTTATAGAATAAAATATATGATAAAAAACCCTTTCCGGATTCCAACACTCAGCCCTGTTACCAAATGCTTAGTAAGTTAATTACTATAAATTTACTTAGAGGTAAGTGCTTGTGCCAAAAAGAAATTTTAAAAGGGAACTATAGTCTTAATATAAAAAAGACTATAATGTATTCTTGCATTCTCCCAAGCTCAACTTACACTAGCCAAACCTGGGTCTTCACTGAAAATGTAAAAAAACAAAATTTCATCTTGTCAACATTCAATGGAACGTAGTATACTGAAACTGAGAAAAACGAAAACGAAAACGCAGACATCTGCATGAAAACAAAATTAACAGATGCTCTTAATTTTAGTTTGAAACAGAAATGGAACTGGGCAGGGCACTTGTCGAGATACAAAGATAAGAGATAGACTTACCAAACAACTAAATGGAAGGCCCAAAAGGCAAAAGAAACGCGGGAAGACAGAAGTAAAGATGGTCCGATGACATAATATACACAGCAGGAAAAAGTTGAATGCATGCGGCCAAAGACAGGGAAAGATGAAAAAGCATGGAGGAGGCTTTTACACATAGGGGTGCCACATAACAAAAAAATGGGAAGGAAATTATTATAATTGGATATAATATATTTGAAAGAATTGTTAATTGGAAAATAAAGCTGTGATAATAATAATAAAGTATTTGTACCCCAAATTTATGATTTTCTATGTATAGTACTCAAGTTTAAATCTAGCAAACAAATCTTAATAAATAATCAATAAGATCTTCTTAATATTTTAGATAATTCTCCTGTCTGTGTGTATGTAACTGAACTCCTACTCCTAATAAATGGCTGGACCGATTTTGATGAAATTTTGTGTGAATAATTTGATTGAAGAATTGTTTAGATTCAAAAATGGACTCAATCATGATCCAGAAATAACCCGTGCGAAGCTGGGGCGGATTGCTAGTAATTGTATGTTTTAATATTGCAATCTTAATTTACTTGTTTCTATTTCAATACCTGTATTTTGTTTGAATGTTTTCGAAATCCAGAAATCAAGCGTGCGAAACTCATTTATGGATTGTTAGTTAAAATATAAAATTGCGAAGATGGTAAAGCCGAAAAAGCTACAGTTAAACTAATTAAAAAAAAGTTTGCAAAGATGGTAACTGCTGATTATTTGCCTAAAACAACTGATGAGACTTACCTAAGATTTTCTAGAAACGTTCGTATATCTTCCGCATTCCAGTGTTCATTAGTAGCAGACCTGGATCTGGCCACATGCCTTACGACAGCCCTTACGGCTGCAAACTTCTTAGAGTTAGTCAAACTGGAAGTACGACTGTCAGGTTTACCTTCAAGTTCTTTCAGAGTTACTGAAAATTAATTATAATACATGTAGTCCGTATTCCTGATCTTTTTCTGCAATACTTTCTATTTTTAAAAACGTTAAGAGTCAAGACATTTGAAGAAACAAATCCAAATTGCATCTCAAGAAAGTTAACGCACAAATCGTAAAGGGTTTTATTTCTTTTTTCTGTACTTCCGGGATAACGTATAAAGCAGATGTCCATTGTCCATGACCCTCTAAAAGTAATTCTAGTTGTTGTGACATTATAAATATAATTATAGCAAATTTATTGTATTTTACTTTTTAACTATTTTTAACGCAAACTTTCATGACAATCTTCCAGTTTATTTCTTTTAAACTGGCTTTACGGCTCTGGGTTCTAGCCCTTCTGAGCCTGAAGCAAAGAGTATAGTAATTGTCCTATACAGGAAGCCTGAAGTTACAATAAACTCTTCCAGTTTATAAAAAGTAGAGATGGGTAACTCAGGAGAGATAGATACAAAAGATATGAATCAATCCGTTTCCATTGATTGATGGAAACGGATTGATTCTCTTTATATCCATCCGCATCCGAATGTATCACTGTATCAGTATATCTTTACAACTTATTCACTCAAGACATCTTTTAACTTTTTCTAACATCTGTGTCGCACATTGCGCACACTGCCGATCGATCGGTCGGTCGATCGGTCGATCGTTCCAGGAAGGTTTCGGAAATTCCATAGTACAGACGTTTCTTTCGCAGGTCACTATTTAGAATGTTCTGTCGCGCTTTGGCAAGACGGAGAGAGTGAGTTGTTTGACCATTATAAACTGTAATACGTTAGCACAAAAAGGTAAATTGATAACTTTATGACTGGTGCATAGGGCTTAAAGTCATTAAGCGGTACGTTAACATTTAAGTATTATACTAGTTTGAACTGTACCTATGTGTACTTTGCCTATAATTTTTTTAGTAAACAATGCAAACTAATTTCAGTTATAAAACCATAGTTTTTAAGAAAGTTTTATAATCGAAATTAATAGTCGTTTATATCCATAAAAAAGTAGAAAAAAGATTTGTGATTTACAAAATTAAACAAATATATCAGTTTGCTTCATTACTTCAACCTTAATCTCGGTTTGGGAACGAGAGTAATATTGTTTGCGTTAATTGCATCGAACAGAAAAATATTTGAAGTTGTTTTGTACACTTAGTAACTGGTTAATTTAAATGTAGGTAAATAAGACATTCAGTGTAAATAGTTTAAAGTGTTTTTTGTTCTGTACGTACAGTTAGAGAATGTTTCATTTATTTTAAGTGTAAATAATTTTGCGCAGTTAGTATTTTATTAATAAAAAAAAAATGGGTTCATGAAAACGAAGCGCAGTGTGGAATCATTTTGAGGAAGTAGAACCAAAAAAAAGCAAAATGCCTTTATTGTGCGAACATGCTAAATGTACCCGCTGGAAATTGTGGTAACCTTCCCCACAGTACCCCCCGTAGCTAAAAGACAGCCAACGCAGCAGGCATGTTTTCAAGAAGCCGAAACTATATAATATATATTTTCTACAAATTAATACAAACAATACCTACCCTACCTACATTATTTACGTTAATCATTAACTTAATTATTATTTTAAACTAAAAATTTAAGTTAATTTCTCGAAAAGTGCCTATTAATATTTATCAATCATAACAATAACAGCGCTCACTGTAAGTTTCACAGTACGCAAGCACCCGGGTTCGATCCCCGCCGGCACCAATGAAATTGTTAATTGCAATTTTAAGTGCTGATTTACCACGTGCACGACGATGAAGGAAAACATCGTGAGGAATCCTGCATGTCTGAGAAATAGGAAAACTTTAATTTTTTTAATCATAACAAATAGATACCTAGAAAGAAACAGCCAAATATATCAGAATGATACACAATGTTACGACCAAGCAAAATGCAAACAGCTCTATAGGTACTTATCTATCACTCTTACTGATAGGATTGAGTTGAGCGAAGCGAGCCACGCTGAGTGAGCAACGCAACGTAATGCGATGCGTGTCTTGAAAGCGAGCTTGATCTACTGATACATAAGGATATAAAGATATAAAAGAGTGATACATATCCAAGTGATCAAAAGATACATATCAATCTTTTCTTTTAAGTGATACACATTGCCCATGTCTAATAAAAAGTACTCTCATAGATAAATATATATAACCTGTCGGAAATATCTGCGAACCTCGCTGGAATGCGCTTCCCCTCGCGCTTCCCCGCACCTCCGCCCGTTATCGTCTATCCAGTACCGTTGCCATCTCTCCATATTGCATGACGTCATCAAGCCAGGTTCGCAGATATTTCCGACAGGTTATATGTAGCAAGCTATAATATATAAATATAATAATAATATAATATATATAATAACACTAATTTTAATATATTAACACGAAATTTGTTTTATTTTACATTATTTGCAATGAATATGTCGTCACCTATTTCGTCGGTAAATTTCTTAAATGGCAATAGTAAGCACTCCACTAGCGACTCTGTCAACTGAACAGATAAGTTGGTGGGACTGTAAGTACTCTATGCATCAATCAAAATCAATTTCAATTTTTTAATAACTGACTTTACGGCTCTGGGTTCTAGCCTTTCTGAGCCTGAAGCAGTGTTGCCAAGTCTAGACCGTTCGGAGTCGCCAAAAATTTAAAAAAAGTAGCCTAAATTCGCCAAACTTTTTTTTCTGTAATGTAGTCTAATATTACCTTCTGAATTATCAGTTAGCCTACAAAGGCTATTTTAAACGTAGATCCCTTATTTTTATAATTTTAAGCACAATCATAAACATGAAAGAAAAAATCAACATAAAGTACTTATATGCATTTTATCTGTTTATCATCTATAATACAAAAATGAACCGCTGAATGTGTTGCTAAGCGCAAATCTCGAGAGCAGCTGAACCGATTTCGCTAATCCTTTTTTTGTAATATTCCTTGAAGTACGAAAATGGTTCTTAGGAGACTTACTTAATAAGAGAGATAATTTTATAGCCGAAAAGCACCCTTGTTTTTTTTCCGAAGTAGCCTAAATGGCGATCAGTCCCCAAACGCAATTTTTGGTCGCCCCGACACCCTTCGAGATCGCCTAAAAGGCGAAAAATCGCCTAACTTGGCACCACTGGCTTGAAGTTACAATCACAAACCAGGTTACAATCATAGACTAAGAATATACTGGCGTATAGATAACCTGACAGCCCGAAAACGCGTGACTAATTTTGATTTGTCATTCTATGCTTTAGCTAGTGATGTACATTTTACTTTAGGCCTGTCGAAAAATGATTGTTCAGGAACCAGTAAAAAGATAAAAAAATTGTTTAGTGCACGCAATTGAATAACTTTAAAATTAACTGAATTTTTATCATGATAGTCTAAAATAATTACAAAATATTCATATAACATGTTTCTGGGAATAAGCTGAACCTACCTGACTTTTGTTGAATTTTAATTCAAATGTATAAAATCACTGGTGGCTGTACCGATAAACTTAAAAACAAACTCCCCAAGAATCAGATCGGAAAGTTTTATTTTCGAGCTATGAACTTTGGAATAAAATATTTACTGCCATGGACAGTTTCCCCGGAATTTCTATTTTGACATATTGTTAATATAAAAAACTTAACTATCGAGATATCATCAACATTATACAGCCCTTCACTAGTCGACTGCTGAACATAGGCCTCTCCCAAGTAATGCCACAAAGCACTGTCCTAAGCCACTCGAATCCTGCAAGTCTTACCAAGTCGTCAATCCATCTAGGCCGCCACTCAAGAACCTTTTTTCTGCGTCGGTTGTCGGTTCTTTGAGCTATATCACCGGTCCATTGCCACTTCAGCTAACTAATCCATTGGGCTATGTCGGTCACTCTGATTCTACTGCGGATATCCTCATTTCTAAGTTTATCACGCAGAGAAACTCCGAGCACAGCCCTTTCCATACCTAGCTGAGCAACCTTGAGCTTCCAGCAGCGAAGGACCATGTCCCAGTACCATAGGTCATCACTGGCAACACGTACTGGTTATACAGTCTCGTTTTCAAGTTTTGAGATATACCTGACGAGAAGATGTGCCGTAATTTCCTGAACGCTGTCCAGCCGAGTTGAATCCGTCGATTAACTTCTCGGTCGAAGTTATACTTACCTAGTCGGACTATTTGTCCCGGATAAACATACTCGTCAACAACTTCGAGCTTAGTGCTTCCAACAACTATCAGCATAGGTGTGACATGGCTGTTATACATGATCTTTGTTTTGACCATGTTCATCTTAAGACCTGTCCGTTGGGAGGCACTATTAAGGTCACTGAACATAGTGCTTAGGTCCTCCAGCGACTCTGCCATAAAAGGACAAAATCGTCGGCAAATCGAAGGTGAGTGATGTACTCGCCGTTGATGTTAATACCGTAGCTTGAAAACGTCTTCCAATGCTGCGGTGAAGAGTTTCGGGGATATAACGTCACCCTGTCTTACACCTCTCTGCAGTTAAAGTCAGCTAATAATATACCTATTTATATTTTATATATTTTATAAAATGTTTTGATGGGGAAATAAAAAACGGGGACATGGAGTACATAGTGGCTGCTTTATTTTTCATATAAGTATTACTTTTGATAATTACAAACATTTAATAATTAAATACACTATGGAAGTTTATTTTAATATTCGACTCAAATATGAATTTAAACTTAATAATTTAAGTAAGGAAACTTGTAGGATTCAGTTGAATAAGATCGCTCTGATTAAAGGGCAATATCTTTATGATGCTTTATCATGCTTCATGTTTATATTATTTATCATTTTAGCTACATGAACTTAAAAACATAATGATCTTAACAGAGTAAAGTGTACCAAGTGTCTAAGTATACAGATGCACTCTCTATTCTCTCAATCTCGGTATGTTAATAAAATGGTTACTCACTCATGGATTGACCGCGGCAAATGCAACTCAATCTTGCAGATTTGATCAGCAGTATTGATCAGCGCAGCTCTTACTTAACCACGAGTTCCTCTTCTCTACGACTAACGCTGTAGGCGATGAACTACCCTACTTAAGTCCTCAGCACAATGTCATCGGCTATAAAGCATGAATTGGAAAATATTGTGGAATTTATACTATCGCGTCTCATGCGTGTGTAAATATCTATACCTATCTACGCTAAAAGTTTTATTATTGTGACTTGGGAATATAATCCGAACCACCGCTCCACCCCTTGGGGAAAATAGTGTGATGCTATGA